TACATTAAGCAAAAAAAATGGAGTAATATGGCAAGTGCGGCAAGTATGGAGATGTATGTCATCTGCATACTGCGTTCTTGCCGCGCATCTCACACCCACTCCACATCCTGCACCATTTCTCTCTGCAGGGGCTCATGAGTGCCCTGCGACTCTAACATCCTCTATGTACAAAGGATCAGCTATTGGCCCATATTGCCCCCCTGGGTGTCCAAAATTGAACCCGTCAAACCTTTGGGGTCCGTGCCAAAGGAGTTTTGGTTTCTATCGAAATCCTAGATTTGATTTGTTCAGTTCTACAATGTCTGGGGAAGCCCCAAGATTGGCCAAAATACTGTAAGGTGCCAGTAATCCAGTAGTTGTTGATCTACATTCCTACTATAATTCTGGGTAAATTGTAATATTTCACTAACCTGAATGGTTCGGCCATAAAAGGGGATGATTTCCCTTAATTATTAACTATGATTCCAGTTAGGGAGAACAGTGAGGTCGTTATAATTTACCCAGTATAATTGATTAGCTAATCATGTCCTCCATGGCGGCACAGCTATGTTGCTTCAGCAGAGATCACAGTATCATCCCGCAAAGGGCATCATTTTCTGCAAATCCAGAACTTTATACGCGACATCATGCTTTATACCCTCTGGTAAACAAACATAGCTATTGAAAATTGCCATTTATAGTGGATTTACCCATAAAAAATGGTGATTTTCCATAGTCATGTTAGTTTACCAGAGGGTACAAAAACCCGCTATCCCACACATATTTCACTGGTTGTACCCCCATGGTTGCGGGTGATATCTCCAGTCACCAAATAACGGATATAATGTGGCAGACCCAATTCGAAACAGCCCATTGTGCCCAACTTTACCCGAAAAATTGGTTCTCTATCGTCGAGTTTGCCAACTCGGAAGCACCCTGCATGTTCGAGCACCAGCTTTAGCAGATTAATTTGGAACCAACTAACCATGTTTGGATCCTTTTTGGACGCGCCCCAGATGGGAACGGGAGCTCTCAGATTTCTTACTCCTTGGGCCCTTCTCTCAGTTCCTTTTCAATTTCCGCCAGCAGGTTCTTCTTCTTCTGCGCGCGCGACTTGCGAGTGCCTGGAGTGCCTGGAACTGGCGGCCAGTGCGGACTATGGTCGACCCCAATGGGGTGTTAGTCCCGGCATTGAAATGTCAAGTGTCAAGTTGGTTTATAGCCAAGCTAGCTAGGATGAATGGTGCGTATATACATGCATGTGATATACTAGACCTAACTAGTTGAATATTTGGGCTTCAGATGCATTTTACAAGAATTGTTTGAAAGTCATCCATCATCATACCTTCCTTCTATATGGGAGCATACCCCCCCATGCAGGGGCTAAACACTTGCCAAACCTGGGCTTCACATGGTAAACTGGGAGCTTGAGGCTATCCCTGGGTGATAGCCCCATGTTTTCTAGATCCCTATGTTAGCTCTGGCACCCAAATTCCATTGCATCGCAGCCTTCATCTGCTTCGACTTCCACGTATTCGCTGGCTTGCGGAGGCTGATCTGATGCTTCCTCAGACCGTGGGGCAATGCTGGTTGAACTATGATGAACTATGCACATACCATATCATTCCATATGAGACAACGCAATTCAAATAGCAAAGGCTTTAAGATGCTTTAAGTATAGCGTTAGACTGTTAGACATCCTGAATTTCCGAAGTGCCAGGCGACTTACAAGGTGGACAGATATTAACATAGATCTCCAAAAAGTGTTTTTCGTAACTCAAGCTGTGCTTCCAAGCCGGGTTGACTTTTCCCATGTCCAACTTCATTGCCGTGGTTTAACATTCTCTACTTGCATCACTATTTTAGGTAAAACGGCTCCTGTATGGTCCTGTCAAGATGATTAACTCATTAGTCCATTATTAACCCACTATTAATCCATATTAATCCATTCTTAATCCGTATTAATCAGTATCAATCCATTCTTTATCGATTATTGATCCATTATTAATCCATATTAACCCATTATTAATCCAGTATTAATCCATTATTAATCCATGAGCCATCTCATATTTGACCAGGGCTGTACCAAGCAACCTCTGGAGTCTCATCCGAGGCTTGTCGTAATTCTTCTGCGTGTCTCTGCTTCATTGCGTCCTTGGAATACGCCATGGTCACATGGGATTCATATGGATTAATATATATTGATATATGGATACATATGGATTAATCCATGATTTATGATCATCCATGGGAGTTTTTTTTTAAAATTCAGAATCCAAGACCATGAGTATAAAATTATAAAAAGCAGTGTAAATCCCCATGAAAGTGGATTGATATTCAAGTTGATGACCATCCCAATGTTGAGCATTTTTTGGTATTGATCATCTTATTAGATCTTGTTAGAGGGTACCCGCAATGGGGCAGCCAAAACAGGACATCTTGAGGGGTGCCACCTCCAAGAAATGCATCCTACTTCGCAGTTCAGACACTTGCAAGTGAAGAATATTAATGAAGGTCATTTGGGGATGGGTCAAAACCCTGTACCCCTAGTGAACCCCAAAATAGCTGGTAAATGGATGTTCATCCCACTAAAAATGGTATCTATAGGTATTGACCCATACCCATTTCAGATAACCTTCCAGTGTGTTGGAACATGTCTTGAAAGCCAATGCTTTCCGATAGCTGTGCTGGTGCAAGTCGCTTCCAAGGCTTTGTACTTGTCTTCTAGGTCTCTTTTCTCTTGTCTCGCTTCGATCTTTTTGTTCTCACGTTTCGCCTTGGCGAAACTCATCAACTTTCCTGGCCAAGGGTGACCCATGGTGACCCATACTCCCAAACGAGAAGTGAACATATTAAAAAAACCCTTCGTCTTGAAGCCCCCAAGGTAGCTCGTATTCCCAGAACATTCTCCCAATCGACGGATGGACCCATGACAAAAACTAACCCACCAACCTTCAACATCCTTCAACACATGCAGGAAATACGGCAGGAAATGCAGCTTAACTGTGGCCAAATCCCTACCCCTATAGAGGGGGAGGGCGGAGGGGGACAAAACCAACCTGTCGAATTCCACTTTTTTTTGCTTGGAAACCTTGGGATAGTGATCCAACCCCTCGAATGGAATTGTAAACTAACATTTCTTAACAAGCCTTGGGCACTGGTTAGAAAATAGAGGAGCTACGCGCAAGTATGATCACGGCAGCGCAATGTTTTGGAGGGATGCCATCCCTACACATGTGCTGCTTCAGTCTGACATGTGCTTAGCTCCTCCGGAGCTAGGCGCAAGTATTTAATTTTCACCTGCTTGCCAACGACATGGAAAGATGAGGAATATTGATCATTGAGAAACATGATTGCAAAAATGGACTTTTTGAAATGAAATTTCAGTACGGCTCCCCCCCCTCAAATTCCATTTTTAAGAGGGTAGGGATGTGGCCAACATCTCATTCATTGCCATCCACACCACCCATTCTCAGTTTCGCAGGCCTGATTCAATCCTTTTTTGCTCCAACAGTGCCTGCGCATGTCCATTTCTACAGTAACCAGCCACCCTGCATCATAAATAGATATACCCTCTGGTTATGACTAACATAGCCATGGAAAATGGCCCATAGAAATAGATGGTTTACCTATTAAAAATGGTGATTTTCCATGGCTATGTTAAATAACCAGATGGTATAAACAGCGTCATCAAGCGACATTTCTTGCTGAGCTTTCCATTTTGGACAAATCCCCGGTGCTTGGTGAAGATGGCTGCTGAAGATGGCTGCTTCGCATCATTGCAGAAACACTGCTTTGGTATGGAATCTATTTATTTGGGGTCATGTGAATCATAAATTTCTACAAGTGAATGCTTATGAAGGCCACTTTACTGGCTAAACTATGCTAAAATCTCAATTCCACCTCCATTCAAGTAGCAATTTTCGGGGACCAGTCGCCCTGCCGCCCTGCCTTCATCTCGCGCTTGTGCCTCTGTATGATCTTCCCACGCCCAGGGGCACCATCTTCGTCACTCTCCAACATGGCACCGCCAGTATTTCCAAGCGCCCAAGTTGATTCACATTGTCGGTGAAAAATCTACAAATGTTGATGCTTTGAATATGGTCAACTTCTTTTTTTGCGCAGAAAAAACATGTCGATTATTAGATTGTAGATGATGTTTTGCATTGTTTTGCCCAGTGAGAAGTGCAGCAGTGGTGAGCAAAACTCGTCCATCTTTTCACAGCTGCTCGTCATTGTCCCGAGACAAACCTCTCAGCTTTGAAGCCAAAACAAAACGGCTCAGGCTTCAACTGGGAAGCAACCTCAGTGGTTGCTAAATAAGGTGGATTTTTGAGCACTTGATAACCCCATCCCCACACATATCAGTACCATTTATGGCGTAATTTTGGCATAGATAATAAAGAACATTGATGCTGAGTACTCTCAACAGCTTAGCTGCTTAGCTGGCAACAAGCACCTCAGATTGGTTCATGCGGATCCCAAGAAAACTCATGCCCAAGACGCCACCTGGCCAGAGATTCGTGGAGCATTCAGCAGTTTTTTTACTCCGCACTCCAGATGTCTGAAGCACGAGACATAGCCGCATCTGATGTAACATCAACATATTCAACGTCTCAGAATTCTTTTCGAATGGCAGGAAAACTGTTTTTTTCTACATCAAGCACTTGATTTTTAGCTTCATGCGGCTGTTTTTTTTACCACTAACGGTGAGTTCGGGCCATTCGGCACCACGTCGTGGGACCTTGGGTTTCAGAACCATTCCTGGAGAGCGTTGAAATCAATGCAGGGCCCCGGAATCGGAGCCTCGCAGAGTTTTTTTTTGCTCTTATGATCTCCTGCTGTCCATCCCAAGACTTGGCCAGACTTGGGTCTCTAAGAAATCCCAGAAGGTCCACCCAATGGCCCCAAAAGCTCCTGAATCATAAAAACCTCATAAAATATCATAAAAAATCCGAAATCTGAATTTAAGCATATTTAAGCACTGTTCAATCCGACTTTTTTTTGGACATGAACACCTCACAGTTTTGGGGTCTCACAATAGCAGGGCTTGTTTTGTGAGAGTAGCCCTGGGTCCTGGATCTATCTTTAAACTGACGGCAAAAATATGCCAACTCAGGACCCCCCTGGAGCAGTTTTTTGTGCCTCCTTTGGTATCGGAGAAGCGACACACTGCTGATTGTTTTACGCGGATTCATAAGAAAAAAGGTGGGCCAGGTGGGCCGTGGGCCTCACCCTTCAACAATCTTCAACACCGCCACAATCGCCACATCTATCCACATCTCAGTCTCATTTCTGTATTTTTTCGTTTCAAGTGCTATCTATTCATGCTGGCTCATGTTTAGCATGATTGCATTTTCTTCACTTCTTTTTTTTGGAGGGCCCTGAGAGACTCCAAACACGTTCCGTTGCGGTGGCAGTTCTGCACTACATGATGTGACATTGTCCTTGCCTGGGTAGTCAGAGTCAGCGGAGTGCTGCCAAGAGGTGGGTGGCATTTACCTAATGGTCACCTATGCACGAACACTAGTACTTCCCATCTATCGTTCGTTGAACGTGTTGTTTTTCCTGTTGAATCTTGGCACTTCTAGTTTATATGCCCGGACCCAGAGTCACAAAGGTCTGTGAAGAAATGGGGAAGTAACACCAATTTGATGGGGGAATATGGTGATAAACAATGTTTAAAAGAAATCCGCCCGGGATTTTTTGGAATGCACTATTTTCAAACAAAACCATGTTCCGTGAAAGAAACTTGATTGTACACTTGGTTTCCTATAGCTTAGGAACAATGGTTAAAACTAACGGGAAAGGCTGAGCGCGTGTTGCTTCCAACCCGACCATCTGGCTGGAAAAGCTCCAGCCAAACATCAGAAACCAAAAACCATCCACGCTACCTAAAAAAATTTTAATATATGGAATCCTAAGATCTCTGAGATGACTAGTGGCTATGGAAATCATTCTAGGATTTAATCATATTTAATATCTTCCATGTTGAATTTAGGGGATGCAACCCACAAAATTCCAACCACAACAACTCCAAGAAATCGTCCAGGCACTTGGGAGACTCTGTGGAATTTGGCGTGTCAGGGGTCTTCTTCCAAATATCCAACACTCGTGGGGAAGAATCGCTGCGAGATCGTGTCCGGTGTTCTTCATCCAAAATATTGAAGACCTGCTTGAGCAGGTGCACAAATAATCTATGGGGCTTTCAATTTGAATGGGGTGTTCACCCCTTTATCGCTGGAGGGTTTATTTTCTAGACCTATTGATAGCTAGATGATTTAGGGATACCCCATCTATTGGAAACCTCCATATTTATGGCTTATTGTGGCTGGGTTTTTTTCCACATCCACCATCCACTGGTCATTTTCAATTTCAACACGTGCAACGATCCCATGATTTCTATGGTGCTTTCCTGGCAGTCATGGCATGGCTACCCCTAAAAATCGCTGGATGGTATGGTCTTCATGGAAAATCCCAAAGAAAGATGGATAATTTAGGCGCACCCCTATTTCAGGAAACCCCCATATTTTCTAGTCGCGATGCCAATCCCAACTCGGAGGCTTCCAGATGTAGCTGCTGGTGTAACCCTGTTTCTCCCGCCTGGTGAACTCGAGCACGAGCCTGGAAATCAGCCGTCTTTGCTGTTGGACCTGGATCGACCGGAAGTTTGGCCTCGACTTGCGCGGATTCCGCAGGCTCCACGGGTTCCGCTGCTTCCACTGGTTCCGGAAGTTTGGCCTCACTGGTTGGATCAATGGCCTCCGGAGTTTCGGCACCTTCGTGAGTTTCGCCACTTGTTTCCACAGCTTCAACGGCCAATCCTTCAACTTTCACCTCGGGTGTTGCTTCATATCCCTCCTCCGGCGCCCGAAGTTCAGGTGAATCGTCTGGTGCCTCATGATGCTCCTCCACCGTTACCTGCGGACGACGAAAAGTCAGTAAATTCAATAGATTTCATGTGGGAATACCATGGGGGTTACCTACAATGGAGATTTCCTACAATGGGCCCCCCCCAAATCATCCACTTTAGTAGGATTGTCCGTTATAAATCATCCATTTTGGGGTACCTCCATTTTAGGAAACCTCCATGATCATTATATAGCGGATTTTGAACCACTGTTAATCACTATTCGACATATGATTAGTGATTAATCGCTATTCATCAACAGTAACCGTCAACAAAAGAATTCTTAATCACTCTTAATCACTATTTATGAATTACCCTCTGGTTATTTAACATAGCCATGAAAAAACCCAACCATAAATGGAGGTTTCTAGCTGGGAAAATCATCTATTTCTATGGGCTATCTTCCATGGCTATGTTTAATAACCAGAGGTGAACAGAGAAATTGGGCTCTTAAATCTGATGAACACTCCTGAGCACTGTTCAGCACCTTTTCACTCGGTTAGCTCGAAGGTAGCTAAAAGCACTAAAATGGCTAAAAAGGCTGCAGCACATATACAAACATATGTACTACATGTAACATGGTCTATACTGTACACATATCTGATCACGCCTCCCGAGCCTGTTCGGAGGCACGGTGACTCCAAGTGTTTTGAACTAGGCGAGTTTTGATATGTACAGCGGAGCATAGCCACGACTCAAGCCATCTATGCCTTCAGTGTCAGGTGATGTTCACCTTCCAGAAAGTGAAAGTTCATATTCCGCAGTGCCTTGTTCATTTTCTCCTCTATGACGGGTTTCGTCAAGACGTCGGCAAGCATATCGCCAGTGTCGACCTTCTTCAGCCGAAAGTAGCGCTTGGCAACGCGGTCTTGTACCCAATGGTATTGAGTATCCACGTGCTTGGCCTTGCCTAGTCCTCTACGTGAACCCATTGCTATTCCTGCACTTGCATCCATGAAAACTTCACTCTCAGGTTGCAAACCCCAGTCTTTGCCCTGAGTCTCCAAAACTAGTAAATTTAGGTGCCCAAAAATTTACGTAAATTTTGGGATTTACTAACGTGGATTTACATAAATTTTTACTAATGTTAGTAAAATTTACTTACGTTAGTAAATTTTACTAACGTAAGTAAATGCACTTTTGATGCATTTTTGATGCACTTTTGATGCACTTTTGATGCACTTTCGATGCAATTTTGATGCACTTTTGATGCGCTTTTGACAAATGCTCCCAAAAAACATGCCCTTTTGATGCACTTTTTCAATTTTCACAAAATTTACTAACATCAAGAAAATTAGCCAAAACATTACGTAAATTCTTCCCTTTTAGTAAATTTACTAAATTAGTACATTTACTAGTTTTGGAGACTCAGGGTGGCGGTTGAAACTTCTCCCAGCAAATTGCTGGCACCGCTCACAAGAGCGTAATACTCACTCTCTCCAGACGAAAGACTAACAACTCCTTGTCCTTTAGAATAAGTCTTGATACAACAACCACCGGCCATCAAGACGCCTCCTGACACGCTCTTCCTCGTCTTCACGCATCCAGCGTGGTCAGCATCAGACCACATCACAAATGGACTGAGTTTGTTCTGATAAGGAAAGAATTGTGCCATGCGTGGTCGATACCTAAGGTATCGTGCAACTCTTTTGAGCATAAGCATGTGGCTGGTAGTTGGTCGTTGTAGCCCTTGTGCTAAAGATCTTGTTGCTACTTGCAAATCTGGTCGGTCTTGTGCCAAATAAGCTGCTCGCATTGCAACTGATCTATACTGGGTTGCTTCTTCATCATTGAGAAAAACAGCGGCATCCTTAAGATCTTCCACTGATCCTTTGGCAAGTGGTGTCTTGACTTTGGCTCCTCGGGGACCATCTCCGAGTAAATCAATCACCAACTCTGCGTGACGTGCATCTGGTTCCCACCAAATTCCATTCTCCTTCCACGTGATGATTCTGTTCAGGACTCTGATGTCCTGGATGGTGTTTGGTGTTCCTGGTGGTCCTAAAATACCACGTTCCACACATTTCCACTTCTTTGACAGCTCTTCATGAAGCCATTTGATGTTGTCAAATGTTCCTGCTGGTGTAAAATCATCTCCATGTACAACAGTTCTGAGGTCTCGGCCTGCATGGTAGTATATGC